AACCACAATTTGTGTTATTCTTTCGGCATTAGATGGTTGATCTTGCATTATTAGTTTAAATACTCGTAATTGCTTTGTGGGATGCTTTGTAGTTATTTTAAACCCACCTTGGCTTTTGCCCGGGGGGGGGGGGGTGTAAATATAGCCAGGTCTGAAATATGGCCAAACGGCTGAACGGGGTTTCCTAGACACTCTCCAAGGTTTATCCTCATCCGCACGGTGGCAATTTGAGTCACCGGGTGTTTATTGCTTGTGTGATGTTCTGGTGGGGAAAAACTTACATACATTCATTATTAGTTCCCGTAGTTCCTTATTTATTTGTTTATAATGTATTTTCTAACAAGGCTGGGACTTCTCACGACCAGATTTTTAAGCATCGATGCATTATCTCTCAAATGCGCCAAAACACAGGGCATGGTACCAAATTACGGGTTTGCTTGGTAAGTGTCAACAAACAGTATGAAATGTGTACGAAAGTACCAACTTCGGCAGCCTTGTGCTTTGTAATGACTCGATCTGATCTGCTCTTAATAAAGTAGTCGTCTTGTGCCACGGCTGGTAGTTTTCTGGTTGAAGTATTGATAATTTGATTTTAGTGGTATATGAGTCCAGCAACTGCAAAACACAACACTGTTAGCAGCAGATCTGATCTGGAATGTTTCTCAACTGCACCCAACGTGATTTATATTTTGAACTGCAGGTTCAGGAATGGTAAGTGATTTAACGGATGGTTACTTTTGCGATTAATTGCGTGTGCGACTACTGATTTGTTGTGTCTGCTGTTTACACCGACTAGTGTTTGAACTGACACTTCTGACCTAGGCCTTATACATTTAGTGCGAGTGTGTGCTCATAGCTTTGTCAATGTAACTTTTGTTTTAGAAACAAGGAACGACAGTGGGGCACTCTGTGGTCTTCATTGGGACAGGAACAGACACAATTATGGTGTGACCTGTTTGCTGGGCTGCAAGTTGAAACTGAGGTTACCTGATTGCATGTTCTGACACTACACCTAAATGAACAGGTTATGTTGGAGCATACAGTATCATATCAAATCATACATAATCACATCATCAAATAAACAAGTCCCTATTATTATTGTGGTGTGTTTTGTTTGATTGCTAAAAAAATTGTTGAATTTCAGGTCCACTCTCCAGCTAAGGACTAATGTATTGGAAATATAGGGCTAGATCTATTTTTTTATAGACCAATCGGCACTTGGTGCGTGATGTGGTCAGCATCTCGCTGGCCGCCTTTACTTCCCATGATTGCACCTGACACCCACTCACGGCTTGAAAAACTATATATATATATATATATATATATATATATATATATTTATATAAAAGTGGTATGTCTCCTCTACAATGTTTTCTTCCTGACAGCGCACCTGCCAGTGGCGACTGGTCTCCAAAGATAACGGGTCTAGCATCATATACCCCCGCCCGTTTGATATTTCAGGTTATTACGAAACCGTCCATAGGTCCCCAGAATAACCGTACACAACTGAAAACGGCTTTAAGTATTGTTATCTATATGATTCTTATTGTTGAGGTTTAAACCCAACCTACAGCCTGCTGTTCTGTAGGTGGCACACTACCTACGTGTCACTGAGCCACCGTGTTAAAAAAAAGGATCTATTACTGTTTCTTACCAGGAAGAAAGCACAGTTGATATGTTTTACCTGTTGAAACACCAGCTATGTGTAGAAACTGGCGAGACGGCCTTGTGTGTGTCCGTATCTCTAGACACATCAAACAGGTGAATGTCCCAGGTTCCTTAACTGAAGTCAAAAGTTGTAAATACGGCGTCATGTTTTCCCCCATGCCATGATATCCGGGAGGGAGTAGAAACGACGCTTCACGAAATTGTCACTCCGTGTTTGTGATTGTATACATCAAGGTAAGTACAATGACACGTTGATGTGTTTTGATAATTGAACACAACAAAAGTAAGCAATATTTTAAATTTATTTCCTGTCTGATTATATTAGGGCCCTCGACAACAGCCGGAGTGGGGCTTTAAAATAACGTAATATTACGTCCCACATGGGGACGGAGTTTATTTTAACGCTAACAAACCATCCTAGCATTTATTTGTCGTTTGTGCGTGAGCTTCGATAACTTTATTAGCGTTGTACTTTTTAGAAAGAAATAGCAGAACTTAACGTTCATCTATGCTGTAAATCAATAAACACAATGGCAAACCTGCACATACAATGTTACATTAAATCAACAAACAACTAATGAAAGCTGAGGTTTGTTTTCGAAGTCCTGCAAAGGATATGCAATTGACTTTTTGTCTTTTCTTTGTTTCTGTTTTTGTTTGTTTTTTGTTTGACCCTTTTACAAGCCTTCAAACAAATTTGGCATATGGGGCTAGACCTATAATTTATAGACCAATCGGCATTGGGTGGATGATGTGGTCAGCATCATGCCGACCGTCTTTACTTCTTTCGATTCTATCTGGTACCCACTCAAGGCTGGGTCGAGCTGAGAGCCAAGGTCAGCAGTATATCGAGACTGTGTCACTGCGCTCACAGCTCCCTAATTAACAGACACCAGTTTTTCATTAAAATTTACATTTTTTTGTTACTAGCCAATAACCTATTACACACTGACAAAATTTACGGTATTGTATCTCTCATATTTTATCTTACTTCCTAGTTCTGGTTTGTTGGATGCTCCAAGTGGGTAATTGATTGACGAATCGCTTCTGAGAGATAAAGAGAGAGAGAGAGAGAGAGAGAGAGAGAGAGAGAGAGAGAGAGAGAGAGAGAGAGAGAGTGAGAGAGAGAGAGTGAGAGAGAGAGAGAGAGAGAGAGAGAGAGAAAGAGAGAGACCGAAACCACTTGGAATAATACTCCATGAAATTAAGTCGATTCGTACACGTTACTGCAAACCACAAAGCTCAATGTCTCTCTCTCATTCTCTCTCTCTCTCTCTCTCTCTCTCTTTCTCTCTCTCTCTCTCTCTCTCTCCATTTCACAGTCTGTCGTTCCTACGTGAAAGTCGCTGATATTATAGCCCACAGATATGCGTTCCTTTGTTATGGGAGAGTGTCAGGGACTTTCCTTTTTTGCATAACTTTTGATTTTCAATAAAATTTGGTCCTCGTTGACGGCTGAATAAGAATAACATGTGCATTACCGTAATCCTTTCGCTGGGTGTTCAAGCTTACATTTAGGAGATATTTGCTGCTGGAGCGTAAATGGGTAACAGACATTACCAATTTGCGTTATGGCATAACAAGAACAGATGTAAATGATCACCTAAGGAGGAGCAGTAGTTGCGTAGTGGCTAGATCCTAGCTTGTCGGCTCCAAAATCTTGTGTTTGAGTCCTCAACGAGTCGGAGTTGTTTTCTTTAAAACTGACCTTGGCTCGAAGGTCGACCTAGCCTAAAATGGGTATCAGTCATCGTAACCATTATCATCATTCTCTTCATCATTAGATACTCCTTCCTCGTCTTCCATCATCATCGTCATGATCATCATATGTTGTCTTTTTCTGTTACTTCACCTACACTTCTTCCACCATTTACTGCTTTTTTTTTTTTTTTTTTTTTCAATTTTCGGATCTGTTTATTTTAATTAACGGTCAACATTAGTGGGCAAATAAGACATACAACCACTGCCTATAACTGACAAACATTTGTCTAGCAAATCAGTCTGAACATACCACCAAGCAGAAAGATCTCAAATGAATAAGAAATAATATTTAGAAATGACCGAGATTCTCAATTCTGGACCACAACAAGATTTCACTATCACAAGATAACTATAATGTTCAACAGATACAGATCTATTAACATATTTACTGCAGAAATCAAAACAATTTCCTTTTCCCCACAAGTCAAAAGATTAATTAAACAAAAACCCTATACAGTTTTTGAATTCTGGATAATGTAAAAACCAGCCGTACATGGCTAAAATATTGGAATACATTTTGGAATAAAACATTAAATGACCTTTTATCTTTAAACTGAGTGAAATTTAATGAGATGGTCTAGATTATTTTGAACTGAACTTAAATTTGTATTTCCGAGTTTAGATTTGTTTTATTTTTGTGCATACTTCAGTGCAAGTTCACAAACCCTTATAAATGCCACAGCTATCTATTAAACAGGTTGAACAATTTTTCCTTAAGATGTTAGACAAGTCCATCACTGATACAAACTGTCAAAATATTCAGGATGTAATTAGTGACCCAAGATATTATAAAATGACGAAAGTATCGCTTAGAAATCTGTCACACAAAGATGTAATAGAAAGAACAACAAAAACGCATGAAGTTAGTATATGTGCATGTTTTTTTGACAATTTGATGTGAAAAGTCCTCAGTCAAAAAGATTTGATTTTAAGTCGACAGTTTCACACCACTCCATTTTACTCACTTCATCTGTTAATATGTACAAAACTCCAGACATATTTTATTACATTTAGTTAATAAGTCACCATGTTAGTTTAACTTGAAATGAGTAAATAAAGTAAAAATGTGCCCCCTTCGCTAAAGCTACAGCTGAAATTATAGACGCACTCAGGTTTTTTCTTCTAGCATTATACTGGACAGGAAGCTTTGTTCGTCATAATATTTCAGCACAATTATAATAGATAATTTTTCGTGAGCATTGGCACCTTTTTGACACTTTCCTTCCCTTTTTTTTTCTTGTTTGTTGAGAAAAAAGCCAAGGGCACACTAATTTTCAAAGCATATGTAATTTGATATTCGATAATGTAGACAAGAGTTTGCTAATAAAGTAAGTGGTTAGAAAAAGTTGCAAATGCCCATAAAGAGTGTGACATTTTCTTCACCAACAAAAAGCCCCCAGTGATTTTGAGACAAAAACAAGCTGCTAGCGTGCACATTATACATTATATTGAGATCCCTCTAAACACAATTCACACATACATGTGGTTTATAAAAACATATAAGAATGGTATCATTTTATTTGTGAATACACTGGAATATTTTAGGGAACCCTGATCACTCATGACATCAGTTAGAAATATTCAATAGCATCCTCCCTGGATTTGCTAGGTTGGTAGCTGTGGAACGAAACTGTGCTGCCAGCATGTGGAAGTGCCTGATGGATACGGGCATGCATAAACTTATCATCGTCGACCTGGATCTTTACAAAGTAGTTGGTACCATTAACTATCTGACTCTTGTATGCGACGGCCTTGAAATGTGGAAAACTATTTCCATCTTTTGCTTCCAAGTCAACATGAACCTTCTCAACCAAAGATTGAATTTCTTCAGTAGCCTCTTTAGTCTCGGTAGTTCCTCCACACAGCATGTTGTCTGGTAATAAATGCGAGAGTAAGAACAAGAAGATGTGAACAGTTGTAGGTGCAGGTTCAATTTTTTTTTTTTTAAATTTTTATTGGTGAAATATATCTTTGTACAAACAGAAGCAAAATCAATAAAGTGATATGAATAAAATGATGATGGTTTGTACTGTTTCTCACTGACATTTAACAGAGGGTAGAGACAGTGGGAGGCAGAAAGGACCGGGCATTTAGGAGGAAAGCTTGGGCTGCTAGGTATAACAGCGGAAACGGTACATTTCGATGGTAATGTTTGCATGTTATACAATATATATACATATATAATTTTGGATTGGATTGGATTTTTTACCCCACCAGGACATCACACAAGCGATAAACACCCGATGACACAAAGTGCCACCATGCGGATGAGGATCACCGTGGAGGGGTCCCAGAAACCGCGTTCAGACATTTGGCCATAATGATGACCTGCCTATATTGCGGCCCCTGGCAAAAGCCAGAGTGGGGCTTCAAATAACAAAAAATTACGTCCTGAGGACGTAATGATTATCGCACTATATATAATTTTATGTACAATAATCAAAAGAGTAGAAAGAGAGACAGAAGGATAAGGGAGACAAAGAATGAAAATAGAGAGGGTTACTCATTGAAACATATTTATACAATCTTTTTACAAAGGTAAAATCATTGAAGAAAATGATGATGGTTTGTACCGTTTCTCACTAACATTTAAACAGAGAGTAGAGACAGTGGGAGGCAGAAAGGATCGGGCGGTTTAAGGAGAGCTGGGGTTGTTGGTTATGTCAGCGGAAACGGTACTTTTCGATGGTGATGTTTGCATGTTACAAATTATATATATTTATATACAAGAATCGAAAGAGTAGGAAAGGAGAAAGAAAAAAATTAAAAAAAAAAAGAAAGAGAGAAAGAAAGAAAGAAAGAAAGAAAAAGGAAAGGAAGAAGGAAAGAAAGAAAAAGGAAAGGAAGAAGGAAAGAAAGGAAGGGAAAAAGGACACGAAAACGTAGTCTGATAAGGGAGACAAAGGAGAAAATTGAAAGCACTACTCATTTAAACATTTTTTTTTTCCCAAGGAAACATTCAACATATAACACTGTTAATTGAACTAAATACTGAAAGAAAACCATTCGAATTTGCATAAAATACATAAAGGGTGGGTTTGATGAAGAATAAGATGATGATGATGATGATGATGTCCGTGCGGGCTACCCATGACGAGAAAAACAGGGTAAGCCCCGAAAACACAGTCCGCGGCCCTAGTGAATCCGAGAACCTCCGAGCGCTCACCCCAGGCCAACCGGCGGCGTCCCCGGGAAATCCCGGCGTCTCGCTGCAGGTCGGCCCGTAGCGAAGACGGAGCAAGCCCCGGGCATCCACCACCGGCAACACGAAACAGATGTTCTCGCCGGTTATAAAGCATTTCACATGTAGTTGTGTCTATTAATATAAAATACCTAAATTTATTTACAAATTCGCATAATTTACATAAAGGTAAAATTTGATAAAGGGTGATGATGGTGGTGGTGTCAGCGATCGCCGTGGGACACCGTACTGGGCCAAACCAAAGGCGAGACTGTAGGGCAAGCCCCTAGAAGTCTCTGCCAAGGGCCGCCCAGTGGAGGGAGCCCGAGTACCTCCCCCCCCCCCCCCCCCCAGGCCAACCCGCAACGAAACAAAACGCCACGGTCCGGCCCGTGGCAAGGACGGAGCAAGCCCCGGGCGCCCATCACCGGCGGCGCCAAGACTGACAAAGCTTCCGGTCAAAAGCATACACATGTCATTCGTTCTCACTTCTCATTCACTTCTCATTGATGGCGGCATGCCTAGGAAATTGGTGAGAGTGATGATGATGATGATAATGAGATGTTTGTGATGTCAATGGAGATGAAGACTATGGCTGTGTTTACAACAAAACTGGCCCCACTGTTGGGGGGTTCTTGTGTATGTTTGATGAGGGTGCCTGCTTTGTTTAGCTGTGTTATTACAAAATGTTGCCTTTTGTTGTGTAATCGTGATTGATGAGTATGCATGAGATGAAAGGATGGAGAACCATTTTAGGTTCGCACACTCTGTCTTTCGTTCGTTCGCTCGCTTGACCGTTCAAATTTGGATGAAGCGAAAGTTACATAAGGGGAGGTGATTGTGGGGATGGTTAAAGGGTATGGTGGGTTTCACTGCAGAAGGATATGACAAGAAAAGGGAGGGGGGGGGGGGGGGGAAGGGTGGGGAGGGGTGTCCCAGAGGTGCAGACATTTGGCCATATATATGGCCTGCCTATATTGAGGTCTGGCAAAAGCCAGAGAATGACAAAAAAATTTCGTCCTAAAAAGGACGAAATTGGATATAAGTATTAAATCATGGGAATATACATCTGTAATTTTGTATTTGAACATTAACAAAAATAGTTGTTTATTGTAGGTTCTGAATTTATAAGTGGCCCAATTTCTACAATTCCAAACTAATAGTCTGTACTGTGACAATGCTATGAGTAACTTGTTGTGTGTATCTTTGTTTGATTTGGGAATGGTGTTTAGAAAGATGGCGGTGTACATGTTGGGGACTTTCCCTGTGGTTGTCTGTATGACGTCTTTGAGTAATTGATGCGCGGGTGTGACTACGGGGCATGAGTAGAAGATGTGGTGTTCAGTTTCTTGTACGTTTTGCTTGCAGAGTTTGCAGGGTGCTATGTGTTTGGCTCGGTGTGCAGCTTTTTCTGTGGTCGGTGTCATACTGAAAAGAAGTCTGTATGTCACCTCCCTAGCCTTAGCTGTGATGTGTTTGTTGTGTAGGTTGGAAAAGGTGCTGGTGTAATCTGTGATGTAGTACTGTTGCCCCCATTTGATTCTCAAGTGTATCGGCGGTGCGAGTTTTTTGACTAAATGTTTGTATATGGTGTTTGTTGTCTGTTGGAGGAGGTGTTCGTTGCCCCTGATGGCAAGGAGGCTTCGTCTATAAAAATCGGGCAGGGTCCCATAGTAGTGTGGGATGGTGTTGTCTATTTTTTTAAGGTAATGGATCCTGATGCCTATGTAGTACAGGGCCAGTGCGTGTTCGTGCGGGTTTTGGATGATGTCTCCTACGTGTTTGATTCTGAGTGCCTGTATCTGAGTGTCTAGGTCTCTTAAATTGATCCCACCGGCCTTCCTATCCTGTATAAGGGTGTTGTGTTTGATGGAGCGAATGGTGTGCCTAAAGATGAAATTTCGGATGTATTTGTGGACTTCCCGGTGGAAATGTATGGGTGGATCCATTACCGTGGCCAAGTAGATAATTTTGGACATGATGTACGTGTTGACTATGGTACTACGCCCGAATATCGTGGATGTCTTGTATTGATACCTGTGTAACATGTCTGTTACCTGCTGCGTCAGTGAGTCCCACGTCTGTTTGTGTACGGTGTCTGGGTGGCACGGGGAAGGTGATGCCGTAAATTTTCAGGGCAGCCGTACTGGTGAGCTCTGGGGGGAAGTCGGTCCTATTTTTCCACCGCCCCAGACCCATGATTTGGGACTTTTGAATATTAATGCGGCTCCCGCTGGCTTGCCCGAAACGGTTAAAGGGTATGGAGTATGTTCCTGATGGAGGCGTCGGTGGTAGGGAGGAACACAGTATCGTCGGCATACGCCAAGACCTTGTGTTCCCCCATGCCCGGTACGAAAACGCCCTTGATGCTGGTATCCTGCCTGACCGCCTCGAGCAGCGGCTCCAAAGTGAGCACGTACAGGAGGGGCGACAGGGGGCATCCTTGTCTCACCGACCTGGTGATTCGGAAAAACCTCCGATAGTGAATGGTTCACCAGGACCTGGCTTCTGGGGATTCTTATATAGGATGTTTACCCACCGGATGAAGTGTTCTCCCAAATTGCACCGCCTCAGGACTCTTTGCAGATATTCGTGGGAGATCCTGTCAAAGGCCTTTTCCTGATCGAGGGACAGGAGAGAGGACGGGCAGTCTTTCTGGTGGGTGGGATGAAGTGATAATGATCTGCACGGATGAAGTTGGTGTGGATCAGTGGATTGCGAACACTGATCTGCCGGGCACTGCACACTGCTGGTTGGAGTGTGAAAATCAGCGTGGACAGAAAAAGGGTTTCAATCGATTCGTCAAGGCTTTCGTCAAAATTTTATAGTCCGTGTTAAGCAGAGAGATAGGTCTGTAATTTTTCAGTTGTGTTCGGTCTGCGTTGTCTTTGGGTATGAGTGTGATGAAAGATGTGTTGAAGCTGTCGAGAAAACATTGCCTGTTGAAGGCGTCCTCGTAGACCTTAAGGAGGAGAGGGCCTAATAAAGGAAAGAAAAAACGGTAAAATTCTACGGAAATTCCGTCGCTGCCAGGACTTTTACCGTTTTGCATGGTGTCCAGGGCGTGCGTGATGTCCGCCATAGTCAGCGGGGTGTCAAGGCTGTCTCGGTCCGTGTCCGGGAGGCTTTTGGCATGTTGGAGGAAGAAGTCTTGTGCGTGTTCATCCGTCGTTTCTGCTGTGAAAAGTGTGCTGTAGTATCTGTGGAAAGTCCGCGTGATTTGTGTCGGGTCTGTCTGCGTGTTTCCCTCGGTGTCCGTGATCTGTTGTATTTGTCTGTTGTGCTGGATGTTCTGTTCTATGGCGAGGTATTGCTGACTGGGTGTCTCTTGTGTTATGGTGCCGAGTTTTGTCCTTAAAAGTGCCCCTAGGTATCTGTGTTGTTGGTGTTTTTCTAGTTCTAATTCTAGCGTGTGTAAGTGTGGACTATTTCTGTCTGTCTGCTTCGTTAGGCGGATGGCGTTTTGTAAGATGCGTTCCTTGTGCTAATCTGTGTCTGTGTATGAGAGATGCCAGCCTCTGTGTCCTACTTCTAATGGTTTTTTTTAGCATCTCCCAGTATTCCAAAAGATTTTCTGTCGGTGGGTTATCTGTGTATTGTCGTATTAAATCCGCCATGTATGCTGTGAAGGTGTTGTTTTCTAACAGTGTGTTGTTAAATTTCCAGTGTGGTGAGCGCTTAAAGGGT